GTTTTTTTGTTGCTGCATGTCTGACCGTTAATGTTTTTTAGCCATCCTAAATACCCTTTCAAGCCCAAGGGCCCCTACCCGTAACCGAAACAAGGCTCGCGATAATCAATACCAGAAACCGACAATCCATCCGGTTGGCGGAGACGGCCGTTCCAGTATCAAAGCTGTACTACCAAAGAACGAAAATCCATCAGGTCGCCGGGAACGGCCGTTCCAGTACTTAAATTGCACTACCCGAGACTCCATCAGGTCGCCGAGAACGGGCGTTCCAGTACTAAAGTTGCACTACAAGAGAACGCAGTATAGCCAGTAAATGCAAGACGCCAGGGGCACACAACAACGCGGCAACCCTCAGTAGAGGCAATTCCCTCTACAAAAGCAAAAGCGCAATGACTTCTACGGTTGCGAGTACTGGAGCGGCCGTCTCCGGCAACTGGACGGATTTTCGTTATCTGGTAGTACAACTTTAATACTGGAACAGCCGTCTCCGCCAACCGGATGGGTTTTCCTTCTCTGGTAGTACAACTTTAATACGGGAACAGCTGTCTCCGCCAACCGGATGAATTTTCGATTTCTGGTAGTACAACTGTAGTACTGGAACGGCCGTTCTCGGCGACCTGATCGATTACGCTCTCTGGTAGTAGAATTTAATTACCGGAACGGCCGTTGCCGGGGATCTGCTATTCAGCAACCCCCCGAGGAAAGGGCTAGCTGCAAGGACCCTGCCAACCCCCCTCGTTGCGTGCTGAGCCCTTGTTTTTTGGACGCGGAAGCAAACATGCAAGGACTTGATCGGTTGGGGGTACTAGTGTTGTACTACCAGAGAATGATAATCCAGCCGGTTGCCGAGACAGCCGTTCTAGTACTAAAGCTGTACTACCAGAGACCAAAAACCCATCCGGTTGTCGGAGACGGTCGTTCCAGTATTAAAGTTGTACTGCCAGAGAAGGAAAGTCCATGCGGTTGCCGGAGACGGTCGTGCGAGTACTAAAGTTGTACCACCGGAGAACGAAAATCCATCCAGTCGTCAGAGACGGCCATCTCTTTACTAAACTTGTACCAACAAATAGAGCAAAACAGCCCACCACCAAAGCTTGGAAAACGATAGGCCACTCACCAACATTTATGGTGCAGCGATAGGCCATTCACCAAAATTGAAGGTGCAGCGATAGGCCACTCACGAAAATTGAAGGTGCAGCGATAGGCCACTCACCAAAATTGAAGGTGCAAGCCCCACAGAGGGAATTTGGACCGTGCCTCATATGAAGCGACGTTGAGTTGGCGAGCTGCAGGCAGCTTTCCTCGGACCCTGCAAAGAGAGCAAACAATCGCATCGAATCACAAGTTTTCAGGGAGATCGTGCGTGTTTGACTGCGCGCTTGCACTGCGCTCGCCTGTGGCAGAGCTACGCTACTTGCAGCGGCTGGAAAAGAAACAGCTGGTTCCTTAGGTGAGGGTTTCTGGCCCGGTGAAGTGCTCATGGACAAGGAGATGCAGTTTTACAAGGCTTTGGGTGGTGGCGAGGCCCGACATGTCAGCAACAGCTCAAGGGCCAGGAAGTAGTAGCAGCGTGGCATAATTTCCTGCAAGCATAAGCATATCCTTCAGGATGGGTTGAGCAATGTTGAGCGTGTATGCAGACACACACACAGTGATGTGTGTATGTCCGTGCAGACTCACCAGCCTTTGGGTCTGTTCTCCTTCCTCGGCATGATGCTGAACCCGCCGCATGCCCGGATGAAATCTAAAATAGGGGTTGGCTGGTAATTGCCGCTGGTTGTCGTGTTGAATGTGCACCCATGACAAAAGGTTCAGCTCCAGCAAGACGAAGGCCAACATCAAGAATACATCGACTGCAGGAAACATGACTCTTGGCATTGGATGGACCGCTACTGTAGACACTGTAGGCATCGACTCATTGTTGTGCTGCTGCAGGTGTTGCCTTGGTACAGGAGTGCATTGCGCTTTCATTTTGAGAGTGGTTTTGCAGTGAAAAGGCATCACCGCAGACATCATGCAAGGTTGTTTTGGACTTCCGACAAACCCCTGAAAACGCTCACCTCCTACCCATTTCCATATTCGATGGCTAACATAATTAACATAAATCTGGGAGGGTCAGGTAGACGGAGGTCATCCCCAAAAAGGTTTGAAATGGGACCCTTCCCCGCAAAAAAAACGGTGTTTTGGAGGCCATGCCAATTTGAATCAGATCATGATGGGGCTCCCGGAGGCTCTGGGCTGGTTTGGGTGGTAGGTCGACAACTTCACCTTCGATAGCCGTGACCGATTTGCACGCTCTCGTTGCTTTTCGTGACAAACCCATTCCCCCACCCCCCCCCCCTATCTCTTGTTTCGGGGGGGGGACGGTACGTCCCTTTCTTCCTATTTCCGTTTCCTACTGGTCTAAACGGGCAGGGGGGGGTCAGTTTTAGGAAGAAATCTATCATCATGTTTAGTTTCTTCCCATCTCAGCGGTCTTGCTTATTCACTGTGGGGGATTTGTGTTTCTGGGCGACATGGAAAGTAGCGTGGTGCATCAGCAGCGCCCCACGCGCCCGACATGTCGTACCCCTACAGACCTAGGGCATCCTTGTGTACGCAGAGAATTTCAGCTGCGCTGGTAAAATAGGAAGAAAAGCAGGGGGTCCGCTGTGCGGAGCGCTGCATAAGCAGCGCTCCGCACGCAGGACATGGCGTAGGGCCTGGGTTGAGGGGGCGTTTCCTACTCTGTCACTGGATGGACACTTTGGACCTCTCTGGACTCTTGTAGACTGAGAGCATCCTTGTGCGGAGAAAATCAGCCGCAAAACCAAAATAGGAAGAAAACCAGGGGGACCGTGATGCAAGCGCGCCGCTGTAGGGGCACGACACCTGCGTTCAAGGGGCATTTCGTACTCTACCACCACTAGACGCTGCTTGGGATCACTCTTGGCCCTTGTAGACCGAGAGCATCCCTTGTGTAAGCATGGATAATAGCAGCCGCAACACCAAATAGGAACAAAAGCAGGGGGACTGTGTTGCAAGCGCGCCGCTGCGGGGCACGACATGACCTTGGGGCCTGCGTTCAAGGGGCATTTCGTACTTTACCGCAAAAAAAACCGCTGCTGCTGTATACTGAATATCGCATTAGTATGCAGCCTCTATTCGGACGGGGGGGGGGTCCCCCCCCGTCTATTTGAAAACCTGGACATAGGAACTATTCCTATTACCCACCCCCCCGAAATAACTTCAGTCTTGTTGCTTTGCTAT